TGCGATATCTTTACTTACGTATCTCCGTTATCATCTTCCACAGCGATAAGATGTCTCTGGACCGTTAGGATTGTTTTAATGTCACCCGTAGCTGCGTAGTCATGAAGAGCATTGGCTGTTACCTGGGCAACATGCCATGCCATGGAATCACTGTCTATTGTTATGTCATCTGAAATAATAAAAGAGTTTTACAGAGATGGATTACAGTCAATTCTCTTTATACTCAACAATGAGAGAAAAAGTGTTCAAAATAAATTCAATATTTATTGTTATCATTATTAAGTATTTGGCATCACATGTGCCTGGGAGGCGAAAAGCAAACTGAATCACGTTAACCGATCGCTCTGTTCCAGGTATAACCGGTATAAACCTTGATCCCATATGCCAATAAAAAACCAGCAGGGCAAAGAAGAAAAAGACATTCCCATGTATTCTATCTATAAAAAGAGCAGACAAGCTTACCACAAGCATAAGCACAAAAAAAGGATACTGCCTAAGATGTTGGTATATTACAACACAAGTTCCACTCATCATGGTTCCACCGTAAAATAGGGCACATCATTGAAAGAATATCACAAAGACTTGCTCACCAGTTTGAATATTTTTCTCCACCATATCCTTTGGTCTTGAGATACCCTTTGGGATGAGATCCAAGACACCTGTATCTTGAAGTTCTTTGAGGTCTGGTAGCGGCCCACAATCACGTAATGTATTGGAGTCCAGCTGAAATCCTTCTGTACAAAAAAATAAAAAATAACAAGGTGCTTCATCTGTTTTTATCAAATGATAACATAAACGTGAAGAGACCGATGGTTTTTTTATTCAAGTTTATAGACATTTCTTTCCTGGGGACCTGATGACGAGTTATTCCAATACCTGGAATCCAGTCTTGCTTACATTACTTGTTGCTATGTCAGGCTAGCCTTGGGCAATCTTTCAGGTTGTCAAGAACAACCTTTGTTTAAAACCTATGCATATCATTTGAATATGTTAGTGAACTGTTTGTAACTGTTTGGTGTTGGTGTTTTGTGAGTGTTGTATTAAACTGGTGACTAACCTGCTGTATCCATGTTGCCACAGTATTTGCTCTCACTCTCCATCTTAACGCGATCTCCACCAGCCTGGCCTCCCATCGCACTGCCTTGGATAGGTGGCATCTGGAAATCCATCTGCATCGGCTGCTGCTGTTGCTGCTGTCGCTGCTGTTGCTGCTGTCGCTGCTGTTGTTGCTGCTGTTGCTGCTGCAGTTGTTGCTGCAACTGGAATTGTTGTTGCTGTGGCTGCTCTTGGGGTTTCCTTGCTAGTGTTGCAATGCTAGGCAAGGGCTGGTGGTTCTGTGCACCGGTCGATGTTGTGTATACCATCTGCTGAGAGGAGTTGCCGGTAGCAACGACCCCAGACTGGTGGCTAGGGATTTGTTGCGGCACTGGATTCAGTCAGAAAAAAATGGAACAGTTCAAATAAACACATGCCAAGACCACACAAAATACTAATTCTTTGATGAGTTAAATATTATTTCAAAATGGACATTCTCCTTTTTTAAGATCTGATCCTAAATTAAAACCTTTGAATGGCCACGTTTTCTTTGTTTGTGGCACAGGGCTACTTTTTTTGTCTGTAAAGACTATCAATTCATTGTGACCAGAGGTATTTTTAGAAATTATGTTATCTTTTACGTTAAATTAGTAAAAAGAAATGTTAACTGCCATCAAATATAGAACAAGGCACTAATTATGCAAAGCTGACGTTTTGACATCTCCGCAAGTAGAACCAATATGGTATACGCTTGTAAAAAATTCCATTGGGCCATCTTCCCCGTGTTTGTGGTTTGTGCAGGTTTGTTCCTGGAGAGACTCCAGATGCGTAGGTTCAGTGGCCTATGCCGGGTCCTTATGTTTCTTTTGTCGGGCTTGTTTGGGGAACAATAGTTTCTAGATTGCTAGGTCGGACAAACCTTGAGCTTGTTCGACCTGGCTACGGCAGACAGATGTATGTGGAATTTTATTACCTACATACTTATCAGTATTTTGTTACTTGTATAATTCAATTGTTCTATTATATATTGTAATACTGTATGGTTTTTAAATGTCAATTTAATTTGTGTATATTTGAGTGGAAATATAAATCAAACCAAAAATCTAATCTAATCAATAAATGTGTATTCTGTGCAATTTCAACTTGTTATGACAATTTTGTTCACTTCTTCAGTCAGTTGTAGTGGAAGGAGTCTGGATAAAAAAAATTTAAGCTTCTAACCTGATTGTGGCTGCGATGTTGAAGAGGTCATTTGGTTGCCGCTAAAGTTGTAGGTATTAGCTCCATACCCCATGTTAGGGTTGTTGAAATTAAAAGATGCTACAACAAAAAAGGGAAATGAAGAAATATTACAAAGAGCAATATTGATGGTGCTAAAACATAGAATAGGGCACTTTGCATAATGTGTTATTTGTCATCGTCATCAAGATAATCTTCGCTTCTATCACCCAAAGTGAATAAAGTAGATCACCTCAGCGGGTAAGGGACATTTTGTCACATTATCCTTACAATCAGTAATTATTTGCTTGTTACTAGCATCGTAACGACTAAACCTGCTTCACGATATACATGACCAGATCTAACTGTTGAATGTAGTTACAATCATAAAGAATAATACACAAATAATGAATGTTTATGAGTTTAATATATTGAACGAATGAAAAACATTCATTATTTGTTTTATACAACATCGAAGAAGATCTAATAGAACGTTAATCAACAAATTATGTTTTAAACCTTATATTACAGATAAATTGAAGTTGGAGTCAAGCCTTCTCGATTACATTCAGATTACCTTCGCATCAGATACACGAAGGGATACGCGCACGGCAGAGAGGTACGCAGTCTGCATATAACCAAAAATGCACGCCCGTGCAATAGAACATCTATTGAATATCATGTGACAAACAATCCTCCAATCGAATGACAAGGATCCACGTACGTGTTGTATAATAGCAATTATTGATAAACTAAAAACCTTTGGGTTTTATTCACAATTTTAATGAAGCACTTTAGCATGCACCCGACTGATCCTATACAGTACAGTGAAACCTGTCTATAAAGACCTTCCAAGGGAGAAAAGAAAAATGGTCTTTATAGGCAGGTGGTTGTTATGTACAGGTTCCTTCAGTACATGTTTTAATGGGAAGCCATTTTCAAGCAAACAAAAAACGTTGTCTTTGTAGACAGATGGTCTTTCTATATTACCCCGGTCACTGGATGCACTTCCTATTCTGCATATTACAATGCACATTCTCCACTTCCTAGGGAGCATTCCAGCCAGTCGCCTTTTTACAGCTTTGCACATGCTCATCCAATCATATTGACCTTTGCATCATACTGGGTATCCACTTAATTAAAGTGACTTGGTAACATTGCCTCAGATTCTGAAACAAAATCCTGGATTTAGCTCATGCTGCAATGATAATTATAACCTTTAGGTCAGTCAGGAACCCCATGACTTTTACAAGCCGTTCGCCTGTCTGATTATCAAGATATTTATTACTGGAAATCAAGATTTAAAGATCTGTTCTCCTAACGTTTTTATAACAATACAGTCTATTGGGGAAAATAAGTATGGTAAAACCAGTGACTCATCTAACCAGACTCATATATATGTTTGTATGTTTATTTGCATTTTTAGTTTTGTATAAGATGTAATTGTATATTAGTCTATTTTGTGTGTATAGCGCTTAGAGATTTCGGTGGTAAGCGCTTTATAAGTAACGTTTTTATTATTATTATTATATATTAAAGTAGACTTACTTGATCCTCCTCCTCCTCCCATGCCACTGCTTCCCCCTAGGCCACCCTGCTGGTAGGTGCTACTATACTCATTAAAGTGAGCCAAGTGCTTCTTACGCTTACGAAGGATTCCTTCCCGATCTGTAACAAACAATAAAGCAGCAAACAACTCTTCAATAGCTATCAAATTCCTGCAGTGTTCAGAGTATGTGGTTTGTAGACACTGTGTGTGTGAGAAAGGTTGACTGTGACAGTCTACTGTTTGTTCTATTAGTTGAACAAAGTCTGTAAAGAGTTTAAGTCATTACTGGAGGTAAGGAACTTGCACCTGCAATGGAAAGTCTTTATAGAAAGGTGTGTCGGTAGTAGATAGCAACAGAGGTCCTAGAATTTTCTGAAAAGATCTCTCAACATTGTCTTTTTGTAAAGAACTTATTGTTTTGTTATAAAGCAAGTGGGTTATAAAGATAATCAAAATCAACAAAAAGAAATGAATGCAGCAAAACTGAGCATAAAAATGAATAGCGAGAGGAGAAATTAAAATAGAGAGCTAGAAACAAAGAAGGTACCTAGATGCATACCGTTACTCACTGATATTATGTGTTTTGAGATAAAATGTTAGTGATGCAATACGTCTCTCTCATATTAGGGTGCCACAGCAATTTATCTTAAGAGGTTTATTGCTTCATGAACAAGTATGAATACTTGAATAGCCTACACAGTCCTGAATTGAATTGAAATGAGTTGACAAGGAAGGTATGTTGATAAAAGTTCAAAGTCATAGCTAAAAGCCGGGACGGACACATCTTGAACTTATAAATAAAGATGCATTATGTAAATTAAATGCAAATAGCATGGTGTGAAATAGAAAGAAAAAAACACAAAGAAATTCAATATTGAACTTGATATGACAAGAAGAAGGAGGAGGAATGGGAGGAGAAGGAGGAAGATAAGGAGGAAGAGGAGGAGAAGGAGAAGGAGAAGAAGGGGAGGAAGGGAGGAGGAGGAAGAGGAGGAAGGAGAGGAAAAAGGAGGAAGAAGGAGAAGAAAGGGGAGGAGGAGGGAGAGGAGGAGAAGAAGAAGAAGGAGTAGGGAGAGAAGGAGAAGAGGAAGGAGGAGGGGAGGAGGAGGAGAAGAAGGAGTAGGGACAGAAGGAGAAGAAGAAGGAGGAGGGGAGGAGGTGTAGAAGGAGAAGGAGAAGAAGGAGGAGGCAGAGGAGGGGAGGAAAAAGAGGAAGAGGGGAGGAGGAAAAGGAGGAGGAAAAGGAGGAGGAAATGGTATGTAATGTAAAGTTTACCTGGTACTTGAGGGTGGAAGGTGAAAGGCTTGGGATCGCTGGTCTCATTATCTGATTTCCTCTTGAGCTGAACGTGCACATACACAGGTTTATCAATGTTTATATCTTTGTAGGCTGGAGTCTTAAATACAATTGCATACTGCAAAGAGAAGGGAAGAAAAAAAACAAGTGTAATAGAAGTACTTTAAAATCTGCATTTTCTAATTTCGAAGCAAGGGTTTTTGTAATTCCAGAAATAGAATTATTTCTTTTTCTCTTCCAATAAGACTATTTGGAATTATTACCATTATTAAATATGGCTCACTGCAAAAAGGGCACTAATGTCATGTACCCTTGATGGCTGTAGTGTCCTTTTAGCGGTTAGATGATATATTTGATTTTAGTGTAGGATACTGATCAAACAGAAGTCATAGAAACATCATTGGAGCAATCACAGAAAACAAAAGGTGCATCCCTGGACCTAAGTTATTTAGTTTGGTTTGATGGTTTGTTTTACCCAACTGCTAAAGAATGCCTCAAGTCCTCTCCGAAGGACTTGGTAATGAGGATTAATGCCTTACCAAAGGGGCACTAGCGCATCGACTTGGTTTCTAACCTGGGACCTCCCGGTTACGAGACCACTGCCGTACCACATCGCTTCTCCTTTTTAATTATTTTATGTTATGTTGCATATTACCACATGATATGGGTGTTATACATGGTGAGGATTCTTCTACTACTATTAGGTTAGGATCAGAAGACGACCATGGAGCGATTGTCAACAGAGGATAAGTGGTAGACCCCATGCATACCTGTCTATGAACATCGGTTGGACCAAACTCTGCTAAGCTCTGCCAGACCATCTGACCATCGGCAGAGATCTCAAAGAACTTGACCTGTATGTCCTCCTTCTGGACCTTATCACAGAGCAGATAGACCTCCTCTCCTCCTGTACAGCATCCTGCACTCTTGTCCATGCGACAGATCTTGAGGGTCGTGGCGTTGGGTGCCTCTACAGTTCACAATGAAACACATTGTAGCGGACTGGTTATTTTTTGAAAGGACGATTAAAGCCCAACTGTACTACTTATAACTTCATGCGCCCTCTATATAGCAAACAATAGTGACTTTTCGATTTGCACGACGAGAACGTGGACTGCAAGGTGTGACTGCCAGTGCCTTAAAAGAAAGTCACACGTCCATGCAAATTGAAAAGTCCCTAATGCCTAATCGGTGCATGTTGGTCCCCCATGATCCCCTTTTTCTTATGTTAAATGAGAGCTGATTTGATGAGATAACCACCTGTCAGTGACCTTGCAGGGAGGTCTAATCCCCCCTGGCCAAACTAGTACAGACGGGCTTAAAGCCTGCTTTTTTTTTCGCTTGCTTTGTTCCCTTTATAGTTTCCATTGATTTGGGGACTCAGATCTGTTCATTCTTGCAGTTTCCTCTGAAGATGAAAAGCTTCACTATTTCATTCAATGCTTTTCTCCAAATCTATTTTGACCTACATCTGTATCATACATTTACTTTAACTTCAGATTGACATCCTAGAAACTGTATCACAAATATACTATCTGCATTTCATTTTTTGTTAAAAGCCACACTGTCCTACTTGTAGCTACTTGCTCCCTCTTTATAGAAAACAATGTCTAATTAGTGACCATTGGTCCCCCATGATCCTCTTTTTCTTATGTTTATTGAGAGCTGAGTTGATGAGATAACCACCTGTCCAGTGACCTTGCAGGGTGTTCTAATCCCTCCTATAAACTAGTACAGACAAGCTTTAAAGCACTTACTGCTATCAAAGACTGGCACTGATATGACAGGGTCAAGGGGTCGGGTGAAGTGTCCTGAGATGTCCGGCAGATAGGTCTGGAAGCAGAGCCGGACGACGCTAAGATCCATATCCTTAGCCATCTCCTTGGCTTTCTTCTCGATCTCTGCATCGGACGGCTCCGTCCAGTGGCTTTCCCCTGGTGTAGAGTTGTTGATCAGATCCTTGTAGAGACGATGCTGGGCCAAGATACGGGTCTTGAGGGTCGGGACGACGTCCTTGCGCGTCACGTGCAGGATGCCCAGGTTTGGGAAGCTGTGGACATACAATTAGCAGAATAGTGTAATTACCAGACTTAACTTCTGTATAATATGTTCTTGTTCACTCTTCTTTTTTCTCTGCCCTCACATATACATATATATAGATTTTGCTGCTGCAAGAAGTGTACTTCTCTTTTTTCCTTGCTTATATTAATGTTCGATGGTGATTTTCTTTGTATGAGTATTGTTGATCTTTTTTTGTATTTCAATATGGTGGCCCCTTTTAATAAGCCCTGCTTTCTCTGGGGTCACCGAACCATCATTGTGTTCTGCTAAATTTTTAAAGTAAATTATTTTGATTGTATATATATTTTGATGGTTGAATAAATAAAAATGGAAAAAACTAAGCAAAATTCTCCTCGACCAACCATCTCTTAATATCTTTATACAATTTTTAAAAACTTGTTGTGTACTGTTATTAATATTGTTGCATTTGGTGTTGTTAATAAAATGATAACCATCCATCATATTGTCACCACATAATAATCACAATTGTAACCATCATAATCACCATAATCATCTTTGTACGAATATCATGATCATGATAAAAAATCATTATCGTCTTATGGTCACTATACCATCATAACAATAATAGTGACCACTACTTTTACCATCATTATAATTGGAATCACGATCTATATGCCTATCTTCATCAGCTCGAGATTGCCAAATATCCCGCTATTTCAACTATCCCAATCACAAATTATCCAGTTAGTTTGCGTTTTCATCAGCCCGAACTTGCAATTAGCGGGATATTTGGTCGGGATAATCATCGCAAGATATCTTGGGATAGTTTGCAAAATATCCCGCTATTTGTCCGGTGCGTCTTCACCAGCCAAAAGACTCGCATTATGCGCGAAAGCTGAGCAAAATATCTTGAGCTAATTTCTCAAGATCAAGTTTCAAATTTCGAAGTCGAATCTCGAGCTGATAAAGACGCGATTTGTAACTTCAGGATTATTTCCCAAATCAGAAATAGCGGGCTATTTGGCAATCTTGAGCTGATGAAAACATGCCTCATTTCTGACCTTGCTGTCATATCCTTGGGGCCGACCTGGACTGTGCAGAGCCCATCCTTACAGTGCTTCCCTACCAGAGAGTGGGCGTGGGGGCGGGGCGTCTCTTCATTGGTTACCAAGGAGACAACTATACGGGCAGAGCCTTTGTAATTACAGATCTGGGGGATGAGGGGTGGAGATAGAGAGGAAATGAAAAGTGAATCATGGTAGATTTCATAATATTATTGGATATTTTTAGAGTGCACAAATCCACCGATCAAGGTGCTCAACGCCCTCCAATATTACCCAGGCTCTGCTACATGTAGGCTACTGATTTCGGTACTCACATTCGGTGCTCACAGCATTCAAGGAATTCTTTCCTACCATTCAGCACCTGGGTTGAGAGTGGCAAATGTAGATTTATGTCTTACCAAAGGACATTAGTGCCACTGCCGCAGGACTCGAACTGCGAAGCTTATATTAATTCAACTTGAAATTACAATCCATAACAGCTCATTACAGGTGGGAATAAAAAGCTAAATATTTTGTTTTAAGAAAATATATAATCTAATCTAATCAATTTTAATTAAATATTAAGGGGATTTCCTACTGCAAACACTCAAATAATGACAGATTTCACATGTTTCAACTTACATGTAAGCCGAACTAGGCCTTTACCTTCTTTTTTGTTTGTTGGAATTTTAAGTTTAAATATTTATTTTCACTTCATACTTTGAAAATCACTGTGAAAGCAAAATTACAACAAATGATGGTGTCTCCATGGTCACGCTCAAGGTCATATCAGCTAAAACAATAGAATACATAAAATATTTGTTTTTTTACTATACTTTTCCTTCCCCTATACGCCTAATGAATTTAAATTTTCAGGGCAGCTTCTAATTATGAGTTTCTCAACAACCAGAACCAAAAATACAGTCAATAAAGTATATTCTTAGTTAAATTTTCTTTATGACTTGAAATATTTGAAACATTGAATATTAATAATTATAATTGACAGGTAGTTAAAACAAGAAGTACATTCTCTACAAAAGAAAGAGAATAGATTGGTTCGGATCGTTCCTACATGTACATGTATACGTATACTTCCACATTGTGCAAAGTTTCAGCTGAATTAAAGTAGTTTTAACAAATAATGAAATAAACATTGTACATTCAGAATGGTAAGTTAATGTGTGCATACATGTACCTGTACATGTTAGAATCTGAGAAAATGGCTGTAAAGTGCTAATTTACACATTTAAAAAAATTGTTATTCACATTATTCATAATAATGCTCTATATCATGAGTACAAATGATACAGAAATAACTTACATGTGTTCTCACATTGATTGCACATTGACAGTTTGTGTGGATTGCTTTACATCAAAATTATGATTGACAAGAGCTCAAGTGCAGTGCATATCACTTCCGATTCCTTTTTCATTATAATCCTCCCTTCATATTGGGGCTTCAAGTAGGTTTCTCTTTCCAATGATAGATTTTGTTCTTGCATCGAGGATTCCCTCTTTTGTCATCCGTCTCTTAAATACAATTAACCTTTGCTTCAGATGTGTCATTTCGGTGTCAATATCACCAACAATTTCTGGAGCTTCCAAACTAAACTGAAATGATCTCAATTTAAAGATTTCATTCCTGGATAGCAAGTGTGTCTTGGTTATTTTTCAGAATGCAAAATTTGAAGAAGAAGAAGAAGAAAGAAGAAAAAAAAATGAAAATTTTGGGTAGAGTTCCTGTAAAGCAATCCTCTTTACACCATATTTTGTTTACATACAAAAGCAAAGAAATGCTAGCCACATTTCCCATACACATACATGTACACTGTATGTACATGTACATGTACATGTATGCTATTTATAATAGTTTTGATAATGTCTTTATTCTCAAATGAAAACTCTTCCAAATGATGATGTAATGAATATGAAACCAATACCCACACAATATCTACTTTTAGAGCGTCCAGTAAACCTATTCATGTGTTATGTACAACATATAGATTGTAGTCCACTTAGCCCACTGGCTGGACTGTTTCCGTGTCACCCGTCCAATCAGCTGAAAAAAAATAACACACCCTCAACACTAAACCGGAGACAGTCCTTGCCTTTCATTCTCACCCTTTGGACGGTTGTATTTTCTGGGGTTGCTTTAAGAAACACTGGCTAAGTTAATGTCATTCTGCATTTTTTATCATTATTGGATGAGTGGTCTGAATCAGGAGAACGTTTTTTTTTAAAGTAATAATGACATAAATAAATTCATAAATAAATAACTTTTTAAAAAAAACATATAATCAGGGAATAATTTTCCTCAAATTTTTTGATTAGCAATTTCAGGCGATGGATAAATATTTCAAATGAAATTCTGTACATTTCTATGGAAGAAAACTGCTACACAAAAGATATTTTGTATAGCGGTCATGCAAAAATGCATAGCAAATTGCGATGCGATACCAGGAAAATTATTCCCTGATATAATTAATGAATAATATAAAGTAATAAAAAAAGAAAGAGAGAAAGAAGGAAACCTTGCTGGAAATTACATTACTATGTAGTGCTTAATATTCAGTTGAGACATTTTATTGTAAGCCAGTAGTAAACTATTATTAGTTTAGAAGCTTGCCTGTAATTTGAATACATGTATGAAGTGGTTTATGGATGAATGCCTTTCCTTCGGAGCAAACGTTTGTGACCTTTGATCACTAGCTTCTTTCACAGTTTAGATTTTCAAAGAAAAGCAAACAACGTAGTATTACATTATGATTTGTAAAACCACATGTGTCGTGTGTGTATTTTCTAATATTATGATCTTTAACATCTAATCCAGTCCAATCCAATCAAAAAGATATTTGATATAGCGCCTTTTCCTTGCGGTTACAAACCGCTGCACACACCGCTCCACAATGTTTAGGCCACTTATAATCATGTACACATACTGTACAGTTAACAACAGAATTATTCCTACTCCTTTTATTTTGTTTGTTTGTGTGTTTTTCAAACTCAAAAGAGAAAGGTGGACTAATTAAATTGGCCTTTGTTGAAACCTTCAAGATGTAAGCTTTATGTCAGCCACATTTCGCAAGAAACATAAATCAGCCAAACAATGTTGCGCAATTTAAAGAATTACAAAACTTGGTAAGGGTATGACAAATTTAATTGTCTACTGTACGGTACCAATTTGTGCTAATGTGACTCTCCTTGCTTCCATGCTAACGCATGCAGGATGCCGATGAGTCCAAATGCGCACTGCTCACCAAAAATTGATGATTTTTTTTTTATTCAAAATGGTGTTCAGTGTTTTTATGGGTATTTCCAGTACTTACAACTGTAGTGTAAATGGTAAACCAAAAATCCATGATTGGTGAAATGGGCCTATTGGCCCGAATTCACAAAGGAGGTTTGTCGACAAACCAAGGTTTATATATGTCATATGACGCGTTTTGACGCGCTTTTTACAAACCTGGTTTGTAAAAACGCGTCAAAACGTGTCACATGACGCACAAAAACCAAGGTTTGTCAACCTCCTTTGTGAATTTGGGCCATTGAGTCCAACATAACACTGACAATAGGCCAAACAACAACCAAAACACATGTAACCTGCAATATCTAGGTTAATGGCCAGTCTGCCGGGGGTCAGTTTTCTGCCATATATTAAAATCATAAAGAGACAAGAGTGGCATTTCATTTATGTACATGTACCTTACCATTTCCAAGACTGGTATTTACATTGCGTTACCCGGTAACTAGAAAATAAAATCCATTCATGAAGTCTTTGTTAGGGCTCCATAAGTTTCAGTTTCAATGCAATATTGCAAATCGCTTCCAGAGTACGCATGACTGTATACTGAGTAGCATATGGATTGTGTATAGCATCTTTTGATGAAAGGAAACCCCTTGATTTCAACATACTGTATATTCTTTAGAACAAAGCAGAAATTCATAAAATGCAGATTAAGGAGCATAACATTTAGTGGATAAATCAAGAATAAAATCATTATTAGAAGAATGATCTGGGGGTTGTTTCACAAAGACTAAGATCGACTTTAAGTTGGACTTACACTATGGCAGGCCAGTCATGCCACTGTTTCCTCTAACCATTTACTGACTTTGGTCTCTCAAGGGACATACTTTGTCATTGTCACAAATCTACAGAATTTACATTTTTTGATAATTCATTATGGAAGAAAAAAATATTCTCTAAAGATCATAATGGTGAGAGCAACCAGTGGCATGATTGGCCGGCCATTAAGTCAATATTACTCTTTGTGAAACACCCCCTGGTAACAAAAGAACCAGCACTTAAACAACAACAAAAAAACTATTAAAAAAAACATAGAAAGAAGTTTCAGTAGAGAACTTTGAACATCAATATGTAGAACAGACAAGGCATTATTAATACAATGCACATTAGCAATAGCAGGCAAGCACAATATCTCAAGGTTGTTAACCAAAAAGTTAATGTTAGCCCTGCAAAAAGAGCCAATTTTTTTTTTATCTGAGAGTATTTTGCTCTTATTCTTACCTCAACGGAAGGGAAGGATCTTTTGCCTCTCTGACTGTTCTGGCCTGGTAATCCTCCGTGTGATGGACCCTCACATCCATATCGAAACCGAAATCCTCGCTGTAAACAACAACAAAAATCATAAAATCAACCAACAATAAGAAGAACATTCTTGATATATGTAGCAGTAGCACCTAATGCATCTACATCTACAGTGTACATGTACAATGTCTCTAAACACTTTACAGATATAACTCAGTCATCAGATTCAGGCTTGCCAGCAATACATGTATGTTCTCCACTCCCTGGGGAACATTCCAGGCAGGCACAATATTTTTAACACTAGCATTGCTGGCCAATGATTTACGCATCCTACTGGGTACCCATTTAACACATGGGTAGAAAAAGTAATTTAAGTAAAGTAATAAAAGTAATTTTTTTTAATTTGATTTTGCTTAGGGAAGTGATTTAATGGAAGCAGAATATGAGAGGAACCATCAGTGGAAGTTTGGTCGATTCTGATTTAAAAAACAAGAAAGTTATAAATATTTGGAGTTGTGATCAATCAAACACAAATTGACAACTCTGTGAAATATCTTGCAAGCTCCTCTCCCATTTGCCCTGTACTTAAAAAATCAGAAATTCTTATTTTTCCTCAAGAAAATTTGCAATCACACATGCACCCTACATGTAATTATTAAAAATATGTTTCTATACAACCCCTGTATGAAGATAAAAACTATTCCGTCATCAATAATAAAGAAAATGAAAATATTTAATATACAGAACAAATTGCAGAGGGGCTTGCAAGATATATCACAGTATTGCCAATTCCCCTGTAATTAAAAGACATACAGTGTAAGTGCCCTGTCAGGAATCGAACCACAAACTTCTCCCGTCAAATGTTTAAAACCACTTGACTTTGACAACTCTCGTAAATTGTAATGTAAATGACTAAATGACAAATAACCACACACTAACACAGATCATAGATGTACATGTACATGTAAATGCATTTTGGAAATATATATTTTTTAATAATTCTATCATTCTGAGTTTCTGACGATAAATCATAATCCTACCTCAGGGCACTACACTAACTATTTTTGGAAAGGGGTCGTGATCAGACTTTTTACAGACTGTATTGACCCTATACGGACTTAGATTTTGGACTCCCAGATATGTCCCTGTGCCTGTTGGTGTCGATTATACCTACCTACATGTACTGTTAACTGTAAATCTGTTAACATACAACCCACTTTGACTTGGCAGACATGTGATATCATACCAGTATGATCTTGCATGTACACATGTACGTGAGCATGTACAGTACATGTGTCGTTGATTCCATTATATACACCGCAACAGAACAAACTCAATAGGAATATGACACCATGGGTAGTATGATAAAAATAAAAGTTTCTTGATTTCCTCCTTCCTTCAAAGGATTTGATTGTTAAGATAATATCCAACCCGCCCGTCTCAAATACACATGTATCATTCAAAAGCAAGGAGTGGAAAAATAGAAATTCTAATTATAATACTGCTTGGAGAATGGAGATCGTTAATGCAAAACTCAGAAAGTCAAGGACTCATGCGTTAGTGCTTGGAAAATTAGCAAATTTAAAAAAAGACATTAGCTCACAAAAATAGATGTGGAAACAAAACACCTCTCCCAAATTGAGGATTTGGCATTTATAAACTCGGGAGACAATTTTCAACAATAATCAAATCACCATTGTCTTTTAAACAAGCAATATGGTTACATGTATGTTGAGGGCAATATACATGTAGTCTCAATACCTTACATTGTAAATTATCAATCTTAATTTTTCATCATTTCCTGTTCATCAATGAACTTGTAACTATAACAATATTTACCGTAAGACATCATTTATTTCGATTTAATTATATCATTATTGATTAATGTATCATGTATGGGGATCTTTCCTTCCTCATCATAATGTTAAAATCTTCTTCTTTTATCCTGTGCTTTACTATACCACCTCTGTTTTTCTCTCCTTTTCTCCTTTTCTCCTCTTCCCTTTCTCTCTATCCCGGTGCTCCTTGTTATACATTGTAATTTGTATTGTTATTGTTAATGTACAGTACATGTACTTTGCTATATAATATTGTTGATTATAACCTGCCGCCTAACCCACTTAGTTAATAATGGCCTGGTTTTTTGTGTGTGCATGATCTCTTATAAAGACTTGATTTACATGTATCATCAAATCAGATCCCAAAATGACCCAGTCAATATTATCATCCCTATCTAATTTTGATGATAATGATAATAATAAAATCGCTAATATCACACACAAGTTTCCGGCTTGGAGACATACATGTAATGTAACACTAACATGCCATCATATTGGCCACTTTAACCACTGGCAAAGCATGCTCGTCTATATGCGTCACAGATGTGTCATAAATACACATACATGTAAATTATAAAAGTGAAATTAATAATAATAATAATTATAATATTATTTATAATAATAATAATAATAATAATAATAATAATAATAATAATGATAATAATAATAATAATGATAATAATAATAATAATAATATTAGCAAAAATAGTTAATACAAATAAAAATTAAAAATAGTAAAAATAACTTTAATAATTACAATAGTAATGACAATAGTAATAACAACAACAACATATTAAAATAATAATACAAGGCAAAGCACTTGAATTTGTAATTGGTGACTGGTAAGAACTAAGAAGAGCTATTATCTATCATTATTATCAATTATAATCACCTGTCTGGGTTGTTCCAATATCTTGAGATGAGGTTTGGACACCTCTTCCTGAAGACCTTTCATTACAGGTAGATGCATCAGGTCGTTGCTATCGAAATCATTCTCAGCTCCAGACATGGGTAAGCCCACTTGACCGTTCTGGTGTATGAGCTGCTGTAACATGTCCTCTGGAATCTCCACAGACTGCACCGAGTCAGATTTCTCCTCCATCATCGTGGATGTATTTTATTCTAAAGCTTCTGATGACTCGCTCGCTCCCTCCTATTGCGCTACCAGGTGCTAAAAACAGAGAAACAAACTAGTGATAACTAAGACACACCAAAATATTGACAAATGCAAATGGGTAATTCAATAAATTAAGGATCCACTTTGTGACATTTTTGGTGTCCCACTTACATTTAAGGAACCCACACATATTGTGGCTCTTAGTAAAGACTTAAAAAGTGGAGTGAGATTGTAAAGTGATTTCCAAGCATAATATTGCATCCTCATACATGTACCTAGAATCACTTACAATCATATTCCGCTATTTAAGTCTTTACTCAGAGCCACAAATAAGTGTGGGTTCCTTATGCAACTGGGACACCGAAAATGTCACAAAGTGGGTCACTAATTTATGGAATCACCCAAGCTACATAAAGCATTTTATTCATGAGGAAAATTCAGTTAGACTTGTTGTTACAGTCAAACTTACTTTAGAGACACAACATTTTTGTTTTCATTGAAACCTATTCATATTGGCCGAATCAGTAATCAACTCTACCATTTTTATCAAAGCACAGAATGATTAAAATGTCATGACCAGCCGCCTATTTTATTGGCTCCCTAGAGCAGTCGTCATATACAGATTTGTATGAAAGCATGCACGTACATGTACATTGTAGAAATAGGCACTTTATAAATAAATGTCAAACTTGTTCAGGATTGAAAAGAGCGCTTTTGCTAAAATGTAATGACACGCAGTGAGTTAACTTTATTTAGAGCCCCACTGCACTACTTATAGCCACTTGCGCCCTCTATACAGCAAACAATACCTAATGGGTGCCTATCGGTCCTCCATGATCCCCTTTTTCTTATGTTAATTGAGAGCTGATTTGATGAGATAGCGCTTTAAATACTGTAAGTAACGTTTTTATCATTATTATTATTTTAACCACCTGTCAGTGACCTTGCAGGGAGGTATAATCCCCCTGGCCAAACTAGTGCAGACGGGCTTTAAAGAATCAATACAGCACTTTAATTTACAATGCAGTTTGTAATTCATATATTCCAAAGGTGAAGTTACAACATGATGGAAGAAACAATCTCAACTTGTGTCATATAAAGATAATATTAGCCGATCTCAAATCGCATACTAATCCTCAACTCACTTATCAAGTACATTTACTTCCTCCATTTATACTAAAAGTATAACCGATCATCTCTACACGTACTATAGTATACATGTATTTACCGGTACACAGCACTACGTATGAGATACTACTGGTAATGGTATCTAAAAATAGAATCATGTTTCATTAACAGGCACATGATGAATGATCAATTATAAGTTTCTTGGAAGTGATTGCAAGAAGTAATTAATTAATAATTGAAACTCGTGAAATCTAAAGAGGTGTAAATGACCTTAAATGATTCAATAGTCTGGCACATGTACAACAAGTCTATTACTATGACAGAGGTCATTCATGCATAGGTGTACACGAGTGCTACTAAATAATTCAAATCTGTTCTTATAAATGAACCTGGGTTTTTAAATTACAAAATTAGTTGAGATCCTTTTTAATATTTTCACCATTAGTATTTCATGGAATGAAGCACATTTACCCTGGTATGGGTTTATTTTGAAGTCTTTTTTCATTGATTTTCACATCTTTTCTCTCTATTTTTCTTCTCTATTTAATAGAATACAAAAATTGATTTCTAACAAGGTCACATTTTTTTCTTCAATTTGTTTCAATTTTGTATTCATTTATATTTCTAATTTAAGTATGTGCTAACTTGTTCTCATAATTGAGGTTCTGAAGACATTTTGCATTAAACTCTAAAGTGATCAAATTGAGTTTACCGGTACTTTACAGTTTGAACTGTACTATACATGTACATGTACAGGGTATAGGGTGGGGGAAAGATCATACAATACAATTAAATTGCCCCTTTAATTAGTAAGGCTAATTTGCCTAATTTATAAGGATAAATCATTTTGTTTTAAAAATGTTTCCCAAACTAAGTTAGAAGACAGAAGAACAGATAGAACAAGAAAACATTCTTATAATATCCTAGAACCTTGGAATGTTAATCCCTTTTGCTTCAGCAGCTCCTAGGAGCTATCCAAGATGATCCAAATACATGGACATGTACAGGAGAGGAACTCTGATTTTTTTTTTTTTCAATGAAAATCATGATTTTAAGATTTTTAAAAAATTAATTAAACAATAAAAAAAATGATGATTTGTTTTCCCACAACCCCGAGGTCCTCCCTTGGTTTTGAGTTGGAGATGAGCAAACCCCGGGATAGGAGTTGCTGAGAAAGAGATTCTCATTTCAAGGTTCAAATAAAGGAAGGATCTTTTTTCTTTTCTTTTTTACTTTACTTTACTTTACTTTAATACACAATGTTGTAGGTCTAAGCCTGTTCATCGATCCAGGATTATTTCACGGTTACTTTGAGTTTTGTTGATAAGAGAGAATTTAATGTTATTGTTTAGTATTGATTTAATTTTGTCAAAGTATTGTACTTAAGAAGAAAGAAGGATAAAAACAATGAATAACATAACACAGTTAAAGATTTTTTTTAAAGATAAAAGAATAAAAATGTAGACAAAGGTAGTGGACATACAGGCTACATAGAGATACATGAAGGTCTACCTGTAGCTCTATCAAGGGGAATGGTCAAAGAAAAGAATAAGCAACTTAAAAGTTTGATTAAGCATGCACGTTGAGATCTTGCCACTGCGACCTGAAGTCTACTAGAGTCTAGACCCTAAATATTCAATTATTAATTAGCCATAGACTAGTCTAGATCCTCTAATAATGAACAGACTTCAATGAAAATAACAATTTAACACCAAATGTCAAGAGAAGACATAAAGTAACAGACCTATAATAACCGTTGACAAATATCCTTAGGCTTAGACAGGAAGTCCAGATCATCCCATCTGGTTGAATTATGAAATTTAATTAAATAAAACACAAGGCACAACAACATTAGTGCTAATGATTATATGGGGTAACACAAATCAATGAAGCGTTTGACTGAGATGACTAAGAAGTATACTCACAAGCTTGTATGTGTGAAAAAACACACGCAGCTCAGCTAGATCGATTTGAAATGCAGCAAAGCCAGAGCCTCAGTCTCAGAAACCGAGCTGAGTCAGTTGGATACAGCTTGCTGAACATGTATTAGAGTACGTAGGACTGGTCTTTCTAACTTGTTTACGTCCTGAGAGCGCCTAAAATCCCAATGTCACAACCGTAGATTACTACAAAAATGTGAGTTATGAGTGATGACTCAGTAGAGTTGGTAATCGTGAAGCTTGGAAAATCCCTTTCTTCACGAACATGAAAGAATTTTGCTAATAATAGCATGCAAAATGACCTAATGCGACGCGTCCAGGAAATTCGGGACTTTCCATCTCTTGCTGAATCAACAGTCCAATTTTATGATGTGGGTCATGGTATGGTAGCTGTGAAGTGCATTTTTATTGAAAATTGTATCTGTCGACTTAGGATAAGTGCACTTGGTGCCTGTTGAAAAGTTACACATATAAACCTACAAAAACGTGATGCTTACTTTTTTAAATCACTTCTGGAATCGTTATAACCGTTCGTCATAATTCATCCACCCTTGAAATAAATTGTGAATGTCCTAAGTGATTGTGTCATAAAATGATGATGGCATATCATTAAAAATAAAATCCACTCGGCCGTTTGTATATAACATTTACAACATACATTCTCAGAATCTCAGAATTGGTGTCCAGACATCGCTTAAAAGCACTAACGTCTAGAGGGGGTGTCATGTGCATTCAATTAATTGATGCACGGTTCTTTAGAGGCATAGTTTAAAGTTTACATTGCACATCATTCAACTCAACATTCAAGTGTCGACCTCCTTCCTCCTCCCCCCCCCCCCCCAAATAATAATAATAATAATATAATTTGATAAATACATCCCTTAATAACTATAGGGGCCCCATTTGGGTGAGCTGTCAATTATTTGTTATAATATTATATACCAAAGCTAGCATCATAAATAAATGATTTTGTTATGGTGAATTATTGGGGGGGGGGATGATTGTAGGTCATGGTATGGTAGCTGTGAAGTGCATTTTTATTGAAAATTGTATCTGTCGACTTAGGATAAGTGCACTTGGTGCCTGTTGAAAAGTTACACATATAAACCTACAAAAACGTGATGCTTACTTTTTTAAATCACTTCTGGAATCGTTATAACCGTTCGTCATAATTCATCCACCCTTGAAATAAATTGTGAATGTCCTAAGTGATTGTGTCATAAAATGATGATGGCATATCATTAAAAATAAAATCCACTCGGCCGTTTGTATATAACATTTACAACATACATTCTCAGAATCTCAGAATTGGTGTCCAGACATCGCTTAAAAGCACTAACGTCTAGAGGGGGTGTCATGTGCATTCAATTAATTGATGCACGGTTCTTTAGAGGCATAGTTTAAAGTTTACATTGCACATCATTCAACTCAACATTCAAGTGTCGACCTCCTTCCTCCTCCCCCCCCCCAAATAATAATAATAATAATATAATTTGATAAATACATCCCTTAATAACTATAGGGGCCCCATTTGGGTGAGCTGTCAATTATTTGTTATAATATTATATACCAAAGCTAGCATCATAAATAAATGATTTTGTTATGGTGAATTATTGGGGGGGGGATGATTGTAGGCCTACAGGCCACCCACCCCCCCCCCCCCCCCACCTGAAATATTGGGGGGGATATATCCCCCCCATCCCCCCCCCCCCCCCGGGATCGACACCCATGCACCCACCCCTCCCCATGCACATGCATACTAACATGCGTAGAAAAACTCAAACCGGAAGAATTTTTTTTAAGAGAGAGGAGTTTGTAAGCTAGGAATGTTGGAGTAATTTTTACATTTTATACTGACACTAAATACCGAGTTCTACAACAACAAAATGTTAGATCACCTTGCTCTCCGACTTTTCAGCTTTATTGGCGTGATTTGGTTACCACTTCCCCCCCCCCCCCCCCCACCCCTCCTTCCCCTCTCCATTGCCGCCCCCATAAACACACGAACGTGTACAATTCCAGGCTGAACAAACAGGTTTATGGAAACTACGATTTCATCCCCGGTTGATCTTCAACATGGTTCGGCGAATACGCTCGGAAAGAGAAATAGTCGATAACTTCAATATTATAATTATTAGCATGGTAGTAGACTCATTAGCAGGCGTTTCTTTACGCAATTTAATATTTGGTTTCTTATATATAGTAACATCTCAATTTATGTGAACGTTTTTCACTATTTGTATTTAATTACATAATTTTATTCTTCAAATATGCAACAAAACTCATTTTAAAGCACTAATAATTTGCTGAGTAGGCGGTATTAATATTTTAACGACTGGCAAGACATTCTAATGGACGACCGCCCTCATGCGAAGCGCGAGTAGGGGAAACTTGGGGGAAATCCCGACTTCACATTTTGTTTCACAAATGCAGCGGTCATTCAAACTCAAACGAAAGGTGTTTTATAAATAGTTCTCCTGCGTAGGCGGGGCGGGAAAGATTCATTCTCATTTTTCTTTCTTTCTTACCTAAATTTTGAATTTAATTTTTTTTTCTTTCGGGGTTTTTTCTTGTTGTAGTTTGATGTGAAACTACTTCTTCTCACCTTTACCAAGATTTTGGAAGAATGTTGTGTTCTCACTGCAGCTAGGCTTCCAGTTCCATTTATTTCTCGTTCTCATAAAATATGTGTCTTGGCAAGTAATCTGGCTCCGTTGTTGGGTTCTGTTTCGGGTATTTTACTCATTTGGGGAGCAGAACCACTTGGCTGCCTAGACCCGACAATAAAGAGAAATTGACAATTCAAAATTATACTCTCCAATGTTGGTATCTCAAGTCATGTAGATAGGACTAGACAATAACGATAATATGGCCAAATCTAGAATCAGGACAATGAACGTCACATGTTTGTGTGATGTTATTACTGTACAACCAAATTTATTCTGGTATAAAGAATAATGAATCGCGAAAGAGATCAGCTTTGTGCATTTTGTGGTAGAACGAAAGCTTTAGTCTCTTTTATAATAATAGTAATAATGTACATTTATAAAGCGCCTTTTCATTAGATATAAAAACAAAGCGCATAAACAAGAATCGGCGGTTGTTCCCCTGAGACGTCGCCTGGCTCCACTGACCGCCTTCTATATATAATACAGACTCTACACAGAATATGGAAACGGTTGACAGATTATATCAGTTTTTATCAAAGAATAGACCTGTTTAATATAGCATGAAGCATTCGGTTGCATCGGAGTCCTCACCAGTGACAGCATGATTGTGTTCCCAAACTTTCCTCAGTCACCTTGACCATTACCCGGCGTCAAAGACGACTATGAGACGACTTCAGACGTTTCCAAAGTGTAGGGAGCCCAACAGATTTGATGGCTAAATTTCACTTAAAATGTAGGCCTATCATAATGTGAAAGAGGATGTCATTTAAAACACATTGCTGCAAGGATTTTCAAAAAGAATGTGTTTAAAGTCGAATGTTGATGAAATAATACAAATTTAGGTTTTCTGCGTACCTGATAGAAAACCCAACTTATGTATTCTGTTATCAATTTTGTCGCAGCAGTCGCAGACCCATCACCCTTAACATGACAAGTTTACCAACGCAAAATCTTGAAGATAGAGAACACGTTTAAAGATGAAAGTGGGGTGGCAGGGGGGGGCAACTGCCCCCCCCCCCAACCAAAAAAGCGGGGGGGGGGCAAAACGCCCCCCCCCCCTCCAAAAAAAAAAAAAGCAGTAAAGGGGTATAAGATGGTTTGTATTTTTAACCCAAAAGAACATAACAATAATGAAAAACCTGAATTAAATCACAAACAAAATTCCATTCAGAGAAAAGGAAAGTTAAAGGTATAGACCAGTATTGGAAACGCCCCAATTTGAAAAAAATGAAATGGAAGCTCTCATTACCAATCATGTGAAAGAATATGTTTTGACTAATACATGATGATAAAAAAATTGCCGGGAAACCGCCTACTAATTCATATATTTGGTAAATTTGTTTTCTCATGGTCTGTGAGAGATATAGGGTAGTCCCATACATCTTTCTGTGTATAGTGCTTGTAACTTTACGAAGAATGGGCCAAATTTCTTATCATTTTGATGATTCCAGAACCTTGCAGATGCTAGATGCTAGATGATCAACCTTTTCTGATCGATTCCACAACGTTTCTTTCACAATGCAATCGCATGACCATAACTGGTCTTTACCTTTAACAATCATTACATTTCCTAAACATTGCGCATGCCACCTATATTTATCAATGGAGGTTTTTATAATAGCGATACGCGCATATTCAGTTCAGTTCAGTTCATTTATTTCAATCATAAAACCATAACATAATATATATACAAAAGTAACATGAAACAATCATAATCTTATAATATTGGAATTAAGAAATTGGAGACTAAAAAGGAAGTTTGAAAAACTTGTAAGTAAAATAGTCCCCTGACATAAATAATAAATAACGAGATTACATGGTTGTATACGTTACGACAATAATAACAATATATAAATAATATACTACACATTATAGATACACACACACACACACGCACACACACGCACGCACACACATGCATGGTACATTGCAAGAAAAAGAAAGAGTTAAGGGAAATAAGAAGAGACCAACTGTCTCTTCAATAGAACTTTAAAGGATGATATAGTTGTGCATAATGTAAGCTTATCAGTTAAATCATTCCAAATCCGGGGACCATTATGTCTAAAAGAGTAAAGCATTAACTGGGTAGAGACCTTTGGATAATGATATTTGATACAGGAACGAGTATTATACGAATGAACAGATTTATTAAGGATAAACATTTGACAAACTCTTTTAGGTACATAATTATTATAAACATTATACATCATAATAGCACTTTGAATTTTATGTATATCATAAATATTGAGTGTTCTTAAGCGAAAAAAAAAAATAAAAAAATATCGTAGACATATTGTGAGAGAATGGGAAAGCCTGACTGTTTTTTGTTATAGGGGTGAGAAGACATGAGCCCCTGAACGCTGGCGTACTGATGGGGGGGGGGGGGGGGGTTATTTCTTATTCGATACCAGTGATTTACAAATGTTGCTGAATGACATGATTTTTCCGGTATTTGTTCTCGAATTGTTTTGTAAGTCATACCTTTTTATGTGTTTGTTGGAAAATTAGAAATTCCCAAATTTACAGTCGGGCGAAAAATATGCTTATTTAGAAGCATTTATGTCATGGTCTGCAAAACGGCTGGGCTCGGGGGGCTCGAGCCCCCCCCCCCCCCTCATTTTTTGAAAAAGTATGTTACAGAAAGAAAGAAAGAGAGAAAGAAAAAATAAGTGACCTGCTAATGTCACAT